GAACTAACTGCTCTTGGATTGGGGTTAGAGTTCAGTGGGAGCCCAGAATCCATCTGCTTGTCCCTGGGATATGCATGATTCAGATTTACGTTGGTGGTCGTATGATGACAAATTCAAAATCCCATAAGACCAACTATCCCATCAACAGCAACAAACCAACTAGCAGACAACAAAAAACAAACAAATGAAATAAAAGCAGGAAAAACAACCCATAGAAAACGCTGTCAATCATCCCCCTGGGGTATGAGGCGATTGCACTGGTAACATCATCAGCTTTTCCAATGACACATCGCTCTGGACACTGTGGTTATGAGGAGTCTAAGCCAGTGCAGGTCCACCATGAGCCGCACCCCGGGAGCTGTTGCTCCCCACAGTTCCATCTCCTCCCGTCCAATTGAGCTCTGTGTACCCTAAGCTTGGGGACTGGTGCCAGGGGGAAACTTCCTGGATCAGTTCTTCCAAGTTCAAATCCCTGCCATGTCACTGCAAGGGGGGCATCGAGGTACTAAACAAATGGTGATGCTTGGTCCCTTTCCATTGGACACCCTCCAAACGGGGGGGTTCCACCAAAGTCCAATGACTACCACTCCCACAGGTCTGGAGGGATTACCCTCTGCTTCCTCTCCCATCCCAGTCCCCCAGTCCTCAATCTGAAGGTGCAGGCACCTTTAAGATAGGACTCAGTTCACTCTATGCGAAGACCTTCTGGGGTAGCCCCTGGGATAAACCAGGCTGCCCTCAAGGTCAGGGTCCGAAGTAATCATTGAGCTTAGTCCATGCGTGTTTCACAGACAATTGGGTAGAAATGTGTTCATAGAGTCTATCCGGGACCATAAAATCTGGGCCCATGTCCCTGTAGGTTCCCTACCACCATTGTTTAGCATCCCTTCCTGATGTGAGGTTACTTCTCAGTCACCCACCATACTTACCAACAGAGCTCTCAGGGTCTCCTCCACATGGAAATGCTCCTCTCCCCTTCTCTTGGCTTGATTTTCCTGCAAGGTTTTCCTTCCCTTCCAGTGGAGATCCATCAACCAATCCCCTTCTCAAGTGATGGTCTCTTCCCATCTCCTCCCTCTTGTAGGAGTGACCCCAGACAATGTGAGGTCTCCCCCTACAAGATGGCTCTGGTGAGGTGCATAAAAGGGAGGTGATGTATGGTTCATAGTATTTTACGTTCTGAGACTATGTTGTTGCTACTGTTCTTAGGCACCATAGAGCCCCTCCCCACCCAGAGCATCCCCACACCGAAGAGGACAGGACACTGTCCAGTCTTCGCCATCCTCATAATCATCACTCTATTTGAGCCATTCTTGCAGCTACTATGCCAATCCATTTCATTGGGGAATCTTCCTCTTTTTCACGGACCCTCGACTTTACCCATCATGTGTTGTCTTGCCCCAAGGACTGGGCTCTCCTGCCAATACATCCAAAGTTTTGCTCTCGTCGTTTCTAAGAAGCATTCTGGTTGTACTTCTTGCGAGACAGGCTTGGTGGTTTTCTAGCAATCCAAGGTACTTCTCAAGATTCTTCACCACATCAGAGTGCACCTGCTCCAACTCTTCTTCAGCCTACCTCCCTCACTGTCCAGCTTTCATAGGCATATGAAATTATGGAGAATCCCATGGTGTGGGTTAGGCACGTCTTACTCCTCAAAGCTGCATCTTTGCTCCTGAACCATTTAAAGAGCGCTTGCGCACCCCGCGCACTCTGCTGGGCGATGTCCTGCTTACTGCTTCCATGAGCCTCGATTGTGAACAAAAGTAAAATGAAATACTTGACAACTTCAGTCTTGTCTCCACTGACCATGATGGTGTCTATTGGTCCTGTTGGTTTGGGTTTTCTCGATATTGACTTGTAACCCAATCTGAACGCTGCGATCTGTGATCTTCAGCAAAGGACTGAAGTCCTCTCTGCTTCCAACAAAGATATGTCATCTGTGTATCGCACATTGTTAATGAGTCTTCCCTAATTCTCATGCTGAATTCTTTCAGTCAAGACTTCAGGAGCCAGGTCCGAGCAGAGAGAGAGAAGGCAATGTAATCTCACGAGTTTATATAATCTCGGGCACGCAGGCCACATATTGGGAAAGCACATACCCAATAAAATGATCTTGGAAAAAAGTAAAAAGAAAGAGAGAAAAGAAACACACACTTAAAGCTCCATACCAAAATATATAAATAAATAAATCTTATAGAATTTTTTTTGGGGGGGAAGAAAATTTATAAAATAAGTACAATTCCAAAAAAAAGTACAATTCAAATTTGGATGCTACACAAAAATTTCTAGTTGAAAATGAGTATGTAAAAAAAGTTGACACGGAACATAATTTTGTTCTTTGGATCCGAGATAGCAAAAATAGTATTGACAAGGCCGTCGGAAATAATTTCACTTGCTGTGGTACGTACAATGTTTGTTGGCGGGCAGGTCTCCACAAGTCTCGAAATAAAGCTCAGAGACTTGCACACTTGCTCTGCACCCTTTGACGCTGCATCCTTCTTCGACCACTGCCGAGACTCACGCAGAGAGTCCTTGGACAGGAGGTACAATTGCATCCGAAGCCATGCTGGTAATCACGAGTCACGTGGACATCGTGCTGCTGGTGCATGATGTAATGGTTGAGGAGAGGGAACGGAATGTCGCCTTATGCCTGATTGGTCCAAAATGAGAAGCCCGCAAGCTGTCAGTGTCTGCAAACTTGATCGCTTTCATTCAGTGTGCTACCACTGGCTTCTCTTTGTGTCCTGTCTGCCTGCCATTGTGGGGTCTTTGCTTTGGAGCGGCTGGTGCCCCTGTCTAGTGGACACCCTACGCACATGCGTGCGCTGCTTACTGTGTGATCCCTTCCTGGTCCTCAGAGAGGAGCTGCCTTGGGATGTGTCCAGTTGCATGCATATTCCAAACTAGAGTCTTTTTGCAAATGTGTAACATGCAAGGGTAAGTCGAAAAGCATTGCTACTAAGTTTCCAGTTTATATATCCAAGGGTTTAGGCGTGTCTCTTCAAAGAGTAGATGGCTGAAGACAAGTTCTCTCAGTTTCACACTTGTCTACGTCTCATTAGGAAGACAGAGAGAGAGATAGAAAGAGAGAAAGATACTGGCAGATCTTATAGCCTGTTAATGAGATGAAGCTGGTCGTTTTCATTGCCATTGGGTCCTCGGACAAGCTCAGACGCAATGAGAGAGTGAGAAGTGACCCTCGTGCCCACCCTGGCATTCCTCTCCCCAACAAAACCAAAGTAAGAGGAAAACCTTGCGAGTTGCCCTCCATAGCCAGCTTCTCAAATCTCTTATGTTCCATTAACCCACGTGCAGGTAATAAAGAAACGCTTTCTTTATCTTTGTAGTACTCCAATGTATCATCAGTCTTCCGTTTCCTTCCAGTGCATTTTCAGAACTCCAACATGACAAAATTAAATGACAAACAATATGTTTATTTTAAATTTTGGGTCCTTTCCCATTACATTTTCCTTTCTTATGACAGAATGGTTATGGGATTTAAATGCTAACACCACTTCACCACGAAATCCTCAATCACTTTTCAAAGAGGTGGACTGTCGCAGCGGCTGCCAACATGGGCTGGAGCCCACAGCAAACATGCGGAGGACTGTGAGCGCCGGCGGGGCCACGTTGCCTGCAGTCGGACAGAAGGCCGCCATGCGTTGGAACACCTAACAATACAATAACAGCCAGCTCCTGATCATGGGCAAAATAGACCTCAGGTGGACTTGAAGTAAAGCGCCGGCACAAGAAAGGCGTGCTTTCCAGGAGAGGTTTCAGACTTAAAGGAAACGGCACTCCCACCGCTTTCACGGGAGCTCACAGCACACGGCTGCTACCCCTAAATTATAGGGTCATTCTTTTACCACCACTGATTTTGTTCTCTCCTAACATTGGAGGGACGGGTGGGTTTCCTCTAGAATGTTCTGGTCAGAGCATGGCGCTGGCTTGACTTACAATACCCAGCTAGTGCCTTTCTGAGGTTGCTGCCTGGGACCCATAGGTGTGCAGGGTCACAGTCTTTGTTATGTTGGCGCCCATTGTTTACATTTGGGCATGGACCGATCCCATTAAGACCGTCCCCATACTGAAAATAGAAAGTTAAGCAGGCATAAAATTGCATCATCTTTGGGGTTCCTCTGGCTGCACGATTCTAAACATCTTTAAGGGGGGTTAGGTGGAAGGGTGTCTCCTTTGTTCTAAAGTCCATAGCTCGTTCTCTCTGGAGTCAGTGTCTCCTGCTTTACTGGGTGGGGTCTTGCGGAATTCCCCTCAGCCTGGGATCTTGCAGTCTGGAGAGAAGCCTCAGAAACCTACTGCTATGGGGAGGAAGGGTTGGCTTACTGCAACCGAACCGAACCACCCAAGACACGTGGTGCCAGTGAACAAGGGCACCCATCACCCCTAGTCCTGACTGCCGGTGGGCATCCACGTGAAAAACCAATGAATTGGTGGGGGTGGAAGAAGGGCCCCAGACTCCCCCTCAGGCGGCTCTGGGAAAACCTTGCCCGTCCCCCATGCCCAAACTGCAGAGGCGCGCCCTCCTCCAGGAGGGCCGAGAGCTGCTTGGGTCAGGGCTCTGCGCACCTGGCCTTGGGTAGACTGCCCAGCCTCGTTTGTCCTGTCCTCTCTGTTTCTAGCCCCCCTGCGGCGGAATATTTCTTCTTCAGACTAATAGCTTCCTTGGGTGGGTGGGGGTGGGGGTTGACGGGTCCCATTCCCTCTGCCCGGGCGCTCAGGACTGACGAGCGCTCTGGACTTCCTTCACGTTCTCTGCAGCCTGCGTGCGGGTGCAGCGGCCATTCTCGTGGGTGCCCCTCTCCGGGACGCTCTGGCGTGCTGGCAGAGGGTCCTTCCCCACCGTGGGAGAGCGCAGGGCGGGCCGCGGGCCGCGGGCCCAGCAGGGGCGGCTCCCCGCACTCACCTGCCATTGGCGGGCCGGGGCGGCGGCCGCGCTATAAGTGGCGCGGGGGCCGGGCGCGCGGCGCGGGCGGCGCAGGATGGCGGACAGCGTGTACCGCACCCGCTCCCTGGGGGTGGCGGCCGAGGGGCTCCCGGACCAGTACGCCGACGGGGAGGCCGCGCGCGTGTGGCAGCTCTACATCGGGGACACCCGCAGCCGCACGGCCGAGTACAAGGCCTGGCTGCTCGGGCTGCTGCGCCAGCACGGCTGCCGGCGGGTGCTGGACGTGGCCTGCGGCACCGGGTGAGCCCCTTGGCTGGTCGGGGTGCGGGCCGGGCCGTCGGGGCAGCTCCGCCGCCCGCCCCAGCCGCGCGCGAGGAGGCGGGCAGGCGGCCGCCAGGGCCAGCTGGGTGCCTGCCTGGGCAGGACCGGGTGGGCAAGGCAGCAGGAGGCCGAGGGGAGGAGGGGGCGAGAAGGGAGGACGCGGCAAGGGAGGGCGCGGCGGGAGACCGCCCATGGAGGGCGCCAAGTTCGATCCTAACCCCAGCGCTCATCCCGGCGTGTTGGTTGGCCTTGGGCAATGTTAACAGTTAACGTTGGTTCAACTTCAGCCCGTGCCAAAAGCTGCGCCCTGAGTTTCCGACACGTTGTTTTTATCAATCGTTCTCCCCAAACCCCATGCGGTCGGTAGTGGTATCCCCCTTTTGAAACGGACCCAGCAAGCCTCGGAGAAGGTGGTGGAGAGGCCATGGCGACCATCTGGCCTGTGTGCCGTTACACTGCCTCTGGCCGGGAGTTAGTTAAGCTTCCTCAGGGCTGTTGGCCCTTGGCTATAGTGGGGGCACCACCTTCTAGCTCACAGGGTTGCTTATCCCATCCGGGGAGTGCCTGGATGTGAACACAACTCACTGCCCTCCAGTGGACTCGGGCTCAGAGTGGGTTTCTGAGACTGTAAATCATGGTGGGAGCAGAAAGCCTCCACTTTCTCCCTCAGAGCAGCTGGTGGGCTTGAACTGGGGACCTTGAGGTTGGCAGCCCCATGTGTAACTCCTTACACCAACAAGATCTGAATAGATCATTTAAAAAAAAAGGTGGCTACTCAGGTGATAAGCAGATGTGTGAGTCATTGAAGGCCTGGACACAGAACCACATTGGACTCTGCCCTGCTAGGAGGCAGAGGGGTCGGGTGGACACAGGGCCTCCTCCTCCTCTCAGGCCCCCTGACTGCCCCTTTCGGCTCTCCTCCCCGGCCCTGCCAGGGTGGACTCCATCATGCTGGTGGAGGAGGGCTTCAGCATGACCAGCGTGGACGCCAGTGACAAGATGCTCAAGTATGCGCTCAAAGAGCGCTGGGACCGGCGCCACGAGCCTGCCTTCGACAAGTGGGGTATGTTGGGCCAACCAGCCTTCCCTAGCTCAGTTCCCCCAGCCTGGCCACGGGGGACATGGCTCTCTCTGCCCCAGACTCCTTGAGTTAGTCTTTGGGTGAGATCCCACCCATCCACCCACCCAAGCCCTAGGACAGAACAGTCAGAGGAAGGACTTGTGTTGTTTTCCCTGATGGAGGGAGGCTGAGGCACTACGAGAGGGGTGAGGGGTCAGTGTCCTGCCCCTCCCCTGCACCTCTAAGCCCAGAGTCCTCCTCTCCCCTCCTCACCCTCCACTGTCTGTGATGTGCCTCTCCCCCTGGAGGAACGGGGAACCCTGTTTTGAAAAGGAAACTGAGGCAGGATGGCACTCGGTGGAGGTGGTGACGAGGTCTCAAGGGAATCTTCTTACTCCTCGGCCCCTCCTTCATCGTTTCTGCCTCCCAGTCATCGAAGAAGCCAACTGGGTGACTCTCGACAAAGATGTGCCCCAGCCGCCAGGGGGAGGCTTTGATGCAGTCATTTGCCTTGGGAACAGTTTTGCCCACTTGCCAGACTGCAAAGGTGAGAGCATGTGGGGTCTGGGACGTGGTCATTGTCCTGGGAGGGGGCACGGGGCAGGAGACGGGGCAGGAAGGCTGAGCAGACAGACCTCTCCGCCCCTGCCTGGAGCTCAGGGGACCAGAGCGAACACCGGTTGGCGCTGAAGAACATCGCGAGCATGGTGCGACCAGGGGGCCTGCTGGTCATCGACCACCGCAACTACGACCACATCCTCAGCACGGGCTGTGCGCCACCAGGGAAGAACATCTACTATAAGGTGAGGGCGCACCCACGGAGCTGTGAGCCTGGGCCCAGAGTGCGTGGGCTGCGGAGCTAACCTAGCCCGGCCTGCACTGTGGTCTGCAGAGTGACCTGACCAAGGACATCACGACGTCCGTGCTGACCGTCAACAACAAGGCCCACATGGTGACCCTGGACTACACGGTGCAAGTGCCCGGGGCAGGCGAGGACGGGGCTGCTGGCCTGAGGTAGCCATGTGGTTAGGCAGGCGTGTGTGGGGAGGGGTGCTGCCTGCTATCCCACCCCACGACCTCCTGGGTCCTTTTGCAGCAAGTTCCGGCTCTCCTACTACCCGCACTGCCTGACGTCCTTCACGGAGTTGCTTCGGGAAGCCTTTGGGGGCAAGTGCCAGCACAGCGTCCTGGGGGACTTCAAGCCTTACAAGCCAGGCCAGGCCACCGTTCCCTGCTACTTCATCCATGTGCTCAAGAGGACAGACTGAGGGCAGCGCAGCTTCCAGGCCGCTGCCCAGGTGCTGCTGGGTTGGCCGCAGATGCGGGCACCCACCAGCTCTGCGGATACTGGGGAGTGAGGAGGGGCCGACTGCAGCTGCGGGCAGCGGTCTGGCTTCAGGCTGTTGGAAAGCTGACACAATAGAGTCTGTGCCTTTTCGGCCCCATGGCCAGCCTTGTGTTTTGTGCTTCTGTGGGAAAGATGGGGCTCCCCTGTACCCACCCCAGCCTGCCCCTAGGGTGTACTCCTCCCACCCTTGGCTCTGCGCCACGCGAGCTTTCAACAAACGGCACCAGCAGAGGGCAGCATGTACTTGGTTTTCAGCCACTTTATTTTCTGGCTAATCCCCCAAACCCGGGCCTGGGCCCGGCTCCCTGAGCAGCTGGCTTGGAAGAAGGGACAGGCCTGAGGCCTAGGGGGACCTGCCTTCAGGTGGGTGGGCAGCAGCCTGAGGAAGAGTCCCTTCCTCCTTTGCAGGTCTGTGAGGGAAACCGAGGCGCCCCTAGCCACGTGGGTGGGAGCCAGGATGCAGGCACCCTAGCAGGCAGCAAACTTGCGCTGGATACGCTTGTACCTGAGCAGCTCCTGCTCGCTGACAGAGGGCTGCAGCCCTGCAGCGGCCTGCAGCAGGTCCTCCATGGTGAGCTGCAGGCCGGGGCTCCCCGGCTCCCGCCCTGGGGAGTGACAGGAGCGAGTCAGGGCCAGGGTCCCTATTCCAGCTGAGGGACAGGTCTGTGTGTGCGTAGGCAGGGAGAGTCCTGGGGGAACGCCCTCCCTGACCAGCACCTCTCTGTTGTCAATAGTCCCGGGCCTCGACCCAGGTGACTTCTGCCGAGGGGCTCACCTTCCTCCAGGTCACGAACCCTGCGTTTGAGGGCAGCAGTCATGGCGTCAGAGCAGAGGGAGTAGAGGTCGGCGCCTGTCAGCTGGGGTGGGCAGCGGTCCAGCACGCTCACTAGGCTCACAGCGGGCTCCAGCTGGAACCTGGGGGCAGGGGACCAGGAGGGCGCCATGATACAGGACATAGCCCTTTCTCTCTCAGAAGTCATGGCTGGCCCACTGGCCAGCCCTTGGGGAGGCTCTCTCATGGGGCATACTTGCGTGTGATGGCGCTCAGGACCCGCAGCTGGGAGGCCCGGTCCTCGCTCACCCCCACAAACACCAGTTTGTCAAACCTTTCAGGAGAGCAGAAGGGACGGTCACTGCCTCCTCCCCCAGGGGGCCAGGGGCGTCAGTGCCAACTGAGCCCAGCCAAGAGGGTGGGGAAAGTATAGTGTGGGGGCCCAGGGGCGGGCCCGTGTAAGGGAGAGGTGTGAGGTGCCCACCTGCCAGGCCGCAGCAGGGCAAGGTCCAAGAGGTCTGGCCTGTTGGTGGCCCCAATCACAAACACGTCCTGAGTGCTGTGAAGCCCGTCCAGCTCAGCCAGGAGCTGGGACACCACCCTGGACAGGAGGAAGAGAAGCCTGGAGAGCCTTGGTCCACTCCCAGGCTGTCCCTCTGTGTGCCTCTCCTTGCTGGGCTCCTCAGCAGTGCTCTCTGTTCAGCCACGCTCTGTGCCTCCCACACCCCAGCCACCTCCACTGCCCCACTTATAGCCTCCACTACACCATCTGAAAGGAGCCCCCCACCCCAGTAGCGCTGCCAGATGAGTGTCGGACTGCTAACCCACAGGTTGGTGGCTCAAACCACCAGCTGCTCAGGGCGAGTTCCAGCTTTGGAAACCGTACATAGGGTCACCGTGAGACAACCCACTCAGAGACAGTGGGTTTGCTCTTGAACACTGAGAGCTGGAAGGGCGAGAACTTGTAGCGGGTGGCTCAGGGATGGGGGCTCGGGTCAACTGCAATATCCCTCTCCCGCCCACTCAAGATCCCGGACTCCACTCCTACTCGGACCCCACCTGTCCATCACTCCTCCAGAATCTCCACTTCGCCCCCGGCTTGGGGCCAGCGAGTCCAGCTCATCAAAGAAGATAACGCAGGGGGCTGCGGCTCTGGCCCTAGCGAACACTGAGCAGGGACAGAGGGAGCTCAGAGGGGCAGGGCAGAGGAGGAAGGGAGCCGAACTGTGACTGTTCATGGTCAGCACTCTGGGTTAGGCCTCCTTGACCAGGAATCCGACCCGTGGAAAGGAGGCCCAGAGCCACCAAGAGCAGCCTGGGCTCGGGGAGGTGGCGGGCTTGAGAAGGCAGGAGGGCCGCCCCCCGCTGCGTGCGTGCTCACCTTCCCGCACATTCTCCTCGCTCTGGCCCACGTACATGTTGATCAGCTCTGGCCCCTTCACACTGCACAAAGTGCCACGAGAGGCGGTGAGGGGGGAGGCTTGCCCCAGCCCCAGCCCCTGCCCCAGCCCTTCCAGCCCCTCAGCCACCTGAGGAAGGTGAGACTGCACTCCGTGGCCACAGCCTTGGCCAGCAGGGTCTTGCCGGTGCCGGGGGGCCCATAGAGCAGGAGGCCCGAGCGCCGGAGGCCCAGGCTCAGTAGCTCCGGGTGCTCCAGGGGCAGCTGGATGGTCTCCAGAATCTCCCTCTTCGCCTCCTGCAGCCCCCCCACATCCTGCCAGGACACAGAGGGGATCTAGGAGGCGAGGAGCGTGGTTGGGGATTGCCTGGCAGGGATGCTCCTGCCCCACCTCGATGGGCCCCAGTCTCTACCTTGGGGGCGCCCACGGCTTGGGAGTGTGCTTCCTGCAGCTGCTCTAGTGCCTGCCGGAAGTCCTCCGCCAGGAGGGGGAAGCCAGCCGCACACAGGTCACCCTCATCTTCCTCGCTCCAGCCACCGGCCAGCCTGCGGGGAGAAACCCAGGAGGCCCTCTGGAGGCCCTTGCCAGGCCTACACCCTCCTCCTTCCTCCTCTGCCCGGGCCCCTGGGTCCTCCTCTCTTCCCCTCTTGACCCCAAGCCTCCTCACTGTGGGGAGAAGTCAGACACTTGCTGCCAGACTGCTGTCTCATCCCACAGCAGGGCTGGGCCTGCTCCCTGCTGCTGGAGACAATGGCCTACTTCTCTCTGAAGCTTGGGACCATTAGCTTGGTTCCTCTAGGTGGGGTTTGCACCCTACTGATAAGGGTTCCTATGGAGACCCAGAGACCACCCCCTAGACCACCCTCTCATTGCTGTGTAGCCTATAGTGCAACCCTTCCCTGTGACGTATGTCTCTACCTGTAATTAGTGGGCTGGCTTGCCCCCAGAAGGTATATAGGTGTGAGCCAGCACTATAGATCTCTCTCTGACTCACTCTGACCCTGAGCTCCTTGCCGCTCTCTCCCTGGTCACTCCCCTCTCCCTTGTTCCCTTTCCCTCCTTCCCTTCCCCCTCTCTCCACGTGGACCACCAAGCTGGGCTGAGGTGAGCAACGTTGCTATGTATCATGCCTGACTGTATTATTGTATTATCTCTCATGCTCTCGATGACTTTAATATAATACTTATATATCTCAACCGTACAATTGTGCATTACTGAACCCAGTAGTAGTATTACTGAACCAGTGAGTTCTAGTACCAGGTGGGGCTGGCACCTCACCCCCCAGAGACAATTTTATTTAATACTACACCTCACCCCGAGTTCTTGATCCTGGCACAGGCTGCACGGCTGCTGTGGGTCAGGAGGGCATAGAGGTCCCCCACCACGAAGCCCTAGGACACCAGAGGAAAGGACAGATGGGCAGGGGCTGGTAGGTGAGAATCTCTGGGGAAGGAGGAAGGTGGACCCCAGTATCCTCCCACTACTCACAGCACATCGCCGTGCCAGCTGGGCCAAGTTCACCTCCTGGCCCAGGGGGAGGTGGGCAGTGAGGGCCTGCAGGACGTGGAGCCGCTGGACCTCGGACAGCACGGGCACCTCCAGCTCCTGAGGAAATGCTGTCTGCACATCAGCAGGCAGGTCCTGGGCCCGGCTGGTGGTGGCCACCACCAGCAGGGGAGGGCAGCTGCAGGGAAGGAAAGTGGGCACTGACGGCGCAGTGGGCAGCTCCCTCCTGAGCACTGCCCTGTCCTGAGGTTGGTACAGACGGCAGGCAAGCAGAGGTGGACACTGGGACAGGATTGGGACAAACAGCCCAGAGGGTCCTGAGGAGGGTCCTGGAGGCACCTTGACCAGGGAACCTGCCCCCACCCTCAACGTTTTTTTATGTTTGTTTGTTAAGCTAGTGCTTGCCAAGGAGCCCTGGTAGCTGTCTACTGGTTACACGTTGGGCTGCGATCTGAAAGATCAGCAGTTCAGAACTACCAGCCACTCCGTGAGAGAAAGACGAGGCTTCATACTCCCGTAAATGTTGAGTCTCGGAAACTCCTAAGGGCAGTTCTACCCTGTTCTATAGAGTCGCTGTGCCTCAGCAGGGGCTGGATGGCAGTGAGGGAGGGTTTCCCAGGACGCCCCAAAGCCTTCAGTTCAGTGTGGGACGAAGGGCAGGCAAGTGGGCAGAGATGCTGAGAAGCTGCTGCGGGAGGGGTTGTGGGAAAGAGAGAACTCAAGGCTGGAGAGAAGGCAGAGCAGGGCCCCCCTGCAGGCAGGCTGGCTCCGAGTACCTGGCCAGGGGGTCCTCGTCGAGCAGGAGATGGCGCAGTGTCCCCACCACGCGGGCGTCCTCACCTAGCCCCTCACGGTCCCGGCCCAGAAGGTCCACAGCCGTCAGGAGCAGGACTGCGGGCCGGCAGCGTCGGGCCCGAGAGAAGGTGGCCTGCAGCCTGGTCTCCACAGCCCCACTGCTGTCTGCACAGAGGCTGGAGCAGGGCACCTGGGAGGGAACCCACGGGCCTGTGAGCACATGAGCAAGGGCAGGTGGCGGGACCGGGATGGGGACAGGGGTGGGGGGAGAATGCATCTGAAGACTCGGGCTATTTTTTGAAGGCCAGGAGTTAAGTTAGGAGAGGGTGACACTGGCCAAGTCCCACCCCTACATCCCAGAGACCCTAGTGCTATTCCCTGGATTCCTGAATTGCCAGGAAGCATCTTTCCCCTTGAAAGCACTTCTGCGTAGCTGAGCATCCTGGGAATATGCCTGACCCATGGGGCTAAGGAGTTAGGGCCTGGCTCATGGAGAGGGATGGATGGACAGACGGAAAAAGGGAGAGCATCTGCCAGGGGGAAGGAGTCGGCTCTGCTCCCCCGGTACCCTCACCTTCAGCAGGTGGAGGCCCAGGCGGCTACAGGCGGCAGCGACTGCGGTGCTCTTCCCGCTGGCTGGGGGACCCTTCAGGAGGACACTGCTACTTCCTGTTAGCAGGGCACCCCTGCAACCAGGGGACACCCGTCTCCACCACCAGCCAGGACGTTAGTGCCCCAATTCCATGGGGACCCTGGGAGCTAGCAGGCAAACCCTGTTGGCTCCCCCTCGGCAGCCCTTGCCCAGCCACGACCACTTCCACACAGGGAGGGGCTCCTGCAGGGGGGCAGGAGGCTGATGCAGCAGCCAGCGCAGAACTCCCGCGCCCCTCCCCGTGCCTTTAGGAAGCCTTGGCTGCGATGGCAGTCTCGATTGCATGGAGAGAAAATTGAGGGGAGGGGGTGTGTCTGTCTTTACACTTGGACCAATAATGTCGGGACACGGGTTGGCTGCCCGGGCACTCCAGTTTGAGGGGGGCCCTCCCTACTCCACTCTGGCCAGAAGCACTGGGAAACACGGGTCTGTGCGATGCCACCTCTGGGGATGCCGGCGCAGGCTTGCCTCACCTTGGGGCTGCGGCCTCACTCACCCTGGCTGGAGGCGAGGCTTCAGGGCGGCGCAGAGCTCAGCCACCAGGGCCTCCAGGCCTGGGGGGGACAAGCTGCTCCAGGGAGGGTTTTCTCCTGAAGGCAGCCCTGGCACTGTGCTCAGGGTGGTGCCCACCTGTGACAGGCGGGAGGAAGCTTAGAAGGAAAGATGCTTCTAGCACCTTCCCCGTGTACTCCTATCCCAAGGGGTCTCACCAGGTACAAGGAGGTATGGGTGGTGTCAGCCAAGTAGGCACTGGCTGGCTCTTCCGGGGCATCTCCAATGGTCTTCTTCACCTTAAAGAACAGCTCCCGCCACCTGCAGGAAAGAGGCCCAGTGGACCCTCTGTCCTGTGTTCCCACCTCCTGGAATCAAGGCAGTTGTCTCAAACAGGGAGCTCTGACGGTGGGGCTACACTCAGAAACACCACACATGAAGGTGCACACACACGCTGAGGGGCAGAGCTCTGCCTGCCCTTCAGCACCCTCCACCAGAGGGCCCTGGGAGCAGGGCTTCTGGACGAGCGGCCACCCACCCACTCCCACGGGAGAGAGCCCTGCCACACACATGGCCATTTGATCACTTCCACCGGCTGCAGAATTGTTCTCCTGCTCCCACACCGCCCCCCCACCCCAGAAGGCCCAACGTCAGAAGGCAAAGCTTCCTTGTATCTGATCATCCACAAAACCTAACAGCACACAGCTACCTACTGACGACAGCTAATGACGGATCGTTCTGTCTGGGCCGCACACTAAAGTTACCTGTGAAGCTTTTCCAAATCAACATTTCTCACACAGTGCAGGATTTTATCCAAATGGCATCCCCGGGGTGAGCCAACCCGTCCACGAACGCAGTCATGGGTGCGGGGGCTGTGGGCAGTGGGGAGCAGCTGCCAGTGGGCTTGTCGGGAAATGAGGTGCCTTTAGAATTTAGACCGCGGACGGTTGCAGTCTTGTGAATGTGGGAAAGCCCATCAAATCGCACGCTTTTATGGGATGAACTCGATGGTATGTTACCTCTACCTTGACGTTCCTTTTTCCTTAAAGGGACGTCTCTTTAGGAGAGGGCGAATGGGCACAGGAGACGCAGGGAGGAAGTAGGCTACTTTACTCTTTCATTGTGGGGACTGCAATCGGTGAGGTGAGAAGAAATGTGTGTGGGTTACTGAACGGAAAACAGATCTGCTCTTTAAATCTTGACCCAATTCACAATGTTTAAAAAGATAAAATTACCTATTAGAAATATAAAAAGGGCATTTTCCTTTGGGAAAAAAAAAAAATCGAGCTACTTCATGGGCCCCAGCCTCATTCTGATCCTGCCTCAGCAGATCGGAGGCAGAGGCTAGAACCTCTCTGGACTCTCTCTCTCTCTGTCTTCCAACCTGGCCGGCCCTGCTCTTCTCAGGTCGCCCCAGGGAAGGAGCCGGAGGCGGCAGCAACTCTGTGGGGCTGGCAGAGGCCCAAACCAGAATTGGCTGGGAAGGGCTGTGTTTCCTTCACAGGGCACAGGGTGGGCAGTCGATAGGGTCCCTTCTGAAAGCTGGCTCCTAAGTTTGATGGCTAAGCACCAACCTGACATCTTCCGCCGGGCCTCGGTTGTGAACGTGAGGTACCATGGAGCGCTAAGTGGGGCCACAGGGGGCCCTGCATCTAGGCACCCCAGTCCTGAGATGGGGAGACTGGGTCTTGGCCAGAGGATGAGAAAACCAAGTTGTGAATGTTGCCTGAGGCTCACACAGGGGCTCCGACAGGGCCTCTCTTGGCAGAGGACCCATGTGGGCAAAGCCCCAGTCCTTGGTCAGGAAGGCTCATGTGGCCAAGTCCCAGCAGGTGGGCCCAGTCCCACCTCACTTGAGCTTCCCCTGAAAGCTGGGTTACTGTGTCCCCTCTCCGAGTAAATTGCTATAGAGACTCAGTCCAGACTAGAGGGGCTGGTTAGCTATAAACCCAAAGCCAAACCAAACCCATGGACAACAAGTCACTTCTGACTCATAGGGATCCTACACAGGGTTTCTGAGACTTTAAATCTTTATCAGAGCAGATAGCTGCATCTTTCTCCCACAGTGCCTGGTGGGTTTGGCCCACATAACTTGTCCACAGCTTATGCACCCTGGTTAGGATATACCCCCTTTGCCTAAGGGCCAAGGCAGTCCCTTCATTCTTTGCCTCCCCACTTTACAGGGGACCCCTGTGGTCAGAGTCACCCCAGCAGGATCCCTGGTTTGGGTCCTTGGCTTGGTTATGTTCTCCCCCATTCTCCGCTGGGGATAAGGGAAGAGAGAAGCCTTTTCAGGGACAGCAGCCTCTTTGGCAGGTAGGACGACAGAGCAGCCTATTGCTCCATCAATTAAGAGGTCTCCTTAAATGGTCTGAGCCCTGGCAGGAACACTTACTGTGGCTGCGATTGATCAGAAAGGAGGGGATCATATCGTGGTCTTGGTCCGGTTGGCAAACTTTTGAGACAAAGAGCCAGTCCTGTCCCTCACAACAATTTCAAAATTACTCAAGAGCCATACATATATTTGTACAAAGAAATGAACTCACCATTATCTGAATCCTACCCTAAAACATGTCAGTTTTCCTTCAGAGCCACATGTGTGTGCCGATCCAGCCGCACATGGCTCTTGCGTGGCACAGTTAGCCAGCCTTTACGCTGGGTCATTTGGCATCAAGCTTCACTTTAGCTGGGCGCCCCGGGCAACAACCAGCACTTCCCGGTCAGCATGTGGTGGACCTTGTTTCAGGCATGTGACTGGTTTGAGACTCTGAAGACAGCACGCGCCTTCCCCCCCTGACAAAACGGACACAACCACCAGGCAAGTTCATCTGCACAACCACTGTACACAACTCCGAGGCACCCAGACAAGGGCTGCAGGGTGAGGGCCGGATGGGAGTAAGCTGCGTACCTGGGCAGTTTCTCTGGGCTTCCTTCCAGGACCTCCACGTGTCCAGCTGTTGCCACACACAGAACACCCCCTTCCTGGACTACCCTGCAACACAGCAGCAGCCCTAGTCAGCTGACACAGCCCCTCCCTTGGGGGAGGCCCTCCCTCCCCCCAAGCCCACCTACAGCCTGCCCGCTACTTCTTAGGGGCTTCCTCCCGCCCTGAAATCTCCAGAGAACAAGTCAGGCCTAGAATGAGCTGGAGGAAATGACTAAGGGGCTAGAAAGGAAGATCAAAACCAGAATCTCAGCTCCTTGGGGGATCCACTTGGATCTTAAGCTTAGACTGTCCAAATTCATTAACCAGAGTCCTAGTGTCTGACAGCCCACCAAGAGGCTCCCAGGCACGCTTCCTAAAATATGGCTTCATCAGAAGTTCTATGGACTGGGATCTAAGGCATGGGACAGGAGAGCGATGAGGGTGGGAGGCAGTCCTCCTGAAGCGGGGAGGCAGCTAACCTAGGTGTCTCAAAGTGCCGATAGAGGACACGGTCATAATTCCCATCCGTGCAGTAGTGGGGAGAAGACACAATTTCGATGTGTAGTTCTTTGGCAAACGGAGGTGCAGGCAGCACTGAGCAACTTCCTTTACCTTCAGGGGTGCGGGAGCCATCCAAGTACCTCTGGTGGAGAGACAACCACCTTATTACAGCATCCCCAAGAGTCCAGCTCTGCTCTGGCTCGTCAGAGCCAGTGTGTCTCCTCCAGCCCTCATTCGCCCGCCACAGGGGGCAGCCGAGCTCCCCCAGAATGCAATCCCATGGCATAGAAACGTCTCCCTCCAGTGAGCAGCTCATGTTCTGATGCGGGCTCCAAAATGTGGCACCCCCCTCACCTCCCACCCCAAAAGATGAGCCGTTTGTGAAGATCTTTAAGTTGACCCAGGGCCAGTGAAATAGGAGAGCCATTTAATTCTCACAAGTCCTTGCATGACACCAGGCAGCCACTGGGATCCGCATGAAGTGGGACCTATCTGAATTCAGGATCTCCCCAAAGCTGCATAGGCTGGCTCAGCTGACAGAGCTTGTCTAACTACTCCAGAAGTTTTCCCTCAGCTCAAAGGAAACATCCCCCCTGCTCCACGCCTGTGCATCTTCTCTCCCTCACAGCGTGTGTCCACTACAAGGCATTGTCTGGCAGAACCTCCGCCATCATGGGACCGGGCTAGGGGCATGACTAAAGCAATCAAAGCATTGAAGTTTAGATTTTATTTCGGTTTAACTTTCTTCTGAACAGCTGCAAATGGCCTGCTGGCAGCGCAGTCCTGAACGGGGCGTACAGATGCATAATCATACCTTAGTCGAAGGTTGCCCCCCCAAATACGTGGAACTGCTGTCAAGTAGGTTCTTTCACAACAGACACTAGAATTTGTTCATGTATGAAATGCCCAAATGAAATGCCAGGCACCAAAGGGGAGAGCCCTTCTATTCAAGGAATTCCCAGTGCATAACCTGGGGATGGGCCCTATGACAGCATTTTAACCAGGCGCAGAACAAAACAAATCCCCGAGAAAGTTACAAAATGCTACAGGAGGCGGAAAAGCCTCTTCAGAGCATGGTGGAGAGGAAGTGCAAGATTTTTTAAAGAAGGAAGCCGGCACTTAGATGGGCCTGGACAGCAAGGATTTTCATAGAGTCGGTTATAACAGCGGTTCTCATCCTTCCTAATGCCTTGACCCTTTAATACAGTTCCTCATGTGGTGGTGACCCCCAACCATAAAACTATTTTCATAACTGTCATTTTGCTACTGTTATGAATCGGACGACCCCTGTGAATGGGTCGTTCCACCCCCAAAGGGGTCTCGACCCACAGGTTGAGAATCGCTGGGTTAGAAGAGGAATTTCAAGGCAGGGTAAACATGAGTGAAGGCACCGCGATTTCTCCTCTTCTGCATACTACCTGGCACCACAGTGAGTGGCTCTGGACACTGCTGAGTGGACATCCACTTTTTGGCCACTCATATGCTAGAACAGAACTGGCCATGGGGTTTTCTAAAGAGCCGATGGCCGGGTCTTTGTCTCGAGGAGGAGCCACCAGGTGGGTCTGAATTGGCAATCTTTTGATTGGCACCTGGGTGCTTAACTGCCGTGCCCATTCACATCAAGGACATCCCAGTGATTTGGCAAACTGGTTTGATAGGAATCGTTTCATATTCCTGCCAGGCAGTCTGATGGTGAAATCTCACCTTCCACCTGCACAGATGAACTCCCTGCCCACAGCCCACCACACGATGGAGGTCTGCACTGATGACGAAGGCATTAGGCTACCATCCGTTAAGTGAAAAGCCCAAGGATCCTAAGGAGTAAGGGACATAAATCCAGTAGCTCCATCGATTCACTCACTCTCATCGAGCGGATTCCGACTCCTAGCGATGCTATAGGGCAGGGGAGAACTCGCCTGTGGGTTTCCCAAATAGTAACTGTTTATGGGTGTAGGAAGCCTGCTCATTTTCCCTCCCTTCAGTAAAGATGGGGGTGGGTAGGGGAATGGTCAAAGGAAACATGCCTGACCCGGGTGCTGTATCCTACCTGAATTCTGAGCTCGCCCACTTCCAGAGGGTCACAGCCGAGATTAAAAGCTAGGGTGGCGGGCACAAGGGCCAGTCCGTCAGCGAGGGTCTCTCCCAGCTGCCCGGACCCAGGCCCCAGCCTCTCGAAGAGGTTCCAGCGAGGTTCTACGACCTGCACTGTGGCCAAGTGCGGTTTGGAAGTCGTCTCTCCGGTCCGAGACACCCACACCCATTCGCCCTGGAAGAGGCCCAGGCCTCGGAGGCATGTCCTGCTCACCCGCAGTGAATCTCCACTCCCTCCCAGAATCCCCCGGAGTTGCCGGACCTTGGCCGGAGCCGCGAAGGAGGACACCACGGGCGGGGGTCGGGGCCGGCTGCTGTCTCCAGTCTCCAGGCCCAGTTTGGTCCCCCCGCGGAGCTCGGTCACTGCCAGCCGAGTCCCGGGGCCCAGTAACCCTTGCAAGGCCGGCCGCGTCTCCAGCACCCGCGGTCCCGGGGCTGGCAAGGCTTCTCCGCGCCTCACTAGCAGCGGCCCGACCCGCGGCCCGAGGCCCGGCCCAGACGAGGTGCCGAGCAGCGCCCAGCCTAGCGCCGGGGGGCGCCGCACTGGCCGCGCCCGCACCCAGGCCCCCGAGTCCAGCGCCAAGAGCCGCAGCAGCGCTCGGCTAACCAGCAGCGGCGGAGGCCCGGGGCCCTGCTCCTCGGTGCCCGCTGCCGGCCCCTCCTGGGCGGCCACTAGCAAGGCCGGCCCGGCGGGGCTCTCCCCGGCAGGCCGCAGGGCCAGCACCAGGCCCGGCCCCGCGGCGGGCCACGGGCCCCCGGGCGGCAGCAGCACTGCCAACGGGGGCATCTCCGTCGGGAAGGGCTCCAGGACCCTCAGGACAGCCAAGGCCATAGTGACAGGAGACCGAGGAAGAAGAAGGTGGAGGAGCGCGGCTTCCGGCGCCGGCGAGAGGGCACTAGGAGCGGTGAGAGCGTCGTTTCCGCTTCCGCCGGGGGCGGGGTGGGGAGGTGGGCGGAGCTTCGGGTGCGGCCACCGAGAGGCCGGAGCTGCGCTCGGGCTGGACCCTGAAGGTGCTTCCTTGGCTGTAAACTCTGCGGCTGCGTAGCACGTACGCATGCGCCCTTTGACCCTGTGCTTAGCGGCCTCTTGCAGGGAAGGACCGTTCGCCCTACTCTGTCTTATTGAACAGTTGATTGCCTACCCACTGCGACCCCGGAACGACCCCACCCGGGGCTGGGAGTTGTGGGTGGAGTGTTTAGGAACGAATCCAGTCCTCCCCCTTGTGGAACTGTAGGCAATGAGGTTTCCGGTTGTGAGGGTGGTAGCAGGAGGGAGTCTAGGATTATAAAAACTGTTTTAGACTTGCTTGTGGAGAAGTAGTGGCTGCTGGCTGGGTTACGCCATGTGATTCACGTAGCCCTGGAGCGCTTGGTGCTGCCACACCTGTTCCGACACATCCCACACAAAGCCCGGTTCCAGCACTTCTTGCCTTGTGCGTTGTCCTGGTCGTTCGTTCGACATCCACCAAACCGGGAGAGAAGACAAAGCATCTTCCTTCTGTCATCTCCCCAAATCCGGTGGCCCTCTTCCTCCTCCTCCTTGCCCTCCAGAGACCCATAGGTGGGAGGGATGGAGATTTCTGGTATTAAGAGCCCGGAGACAACAGCCTACTCACCACCTGCGCTGTTTACCTGGATTCCATCTTGGCCTCTACCTGCAACGGCTCTGTACAAGACACTCATACCTGGGTAGGCCACACATTTCCAAGCATTAATACTATATTTGCGCTTAAAGATGATGGGCTGGATGGTGGTGATCTACTTTCTGGGCCTTGCATTCTCCTCTAGCTAAATCCTCACTCTCTCCTTCACAGTCGAGGAGTGCCTTCTACTGCATACATGATGCATTCTTGCTAATATTTTTGAAAATCAAGTATCTGGAAATTGAATACTAGATTTACATGTTGTGAGAGCTTTCTACCCCCAGCAAGACCAGAAAATATGTTGTACTTGACTGATTATACTTCCTGGAATAAGTTCCCATCTTAAACCTGATATTGGCCAGCCGCACTTCTTTAAAATAGCATGGAAGAATATATTAGGTACTTGAGTGGATTTAAGTTCCCATTTGGGAATACTAAACTATGTAGGACTCTGCCCTCTGCCTCCCAGAGGGACCAATGGCTGGAAGTGTGGAGAGGCCCAAATAGAATGCATCTGCTTTATATAGTATCAGGCAAGCTGTAGGACTCGGGACTCTAGTGCTCCTTGAGGTTGTAGGGAATGGTAAATACATCTGATGGACTGCCTGGAAGGCTCCCGGGGGCACAGTTTGAACGGGTCCACTAATCCAACAGTTGGCAGTTGGAACACGGGACTGCAGAACAAAGGCTAAGACAATTATACGGAGCTCTACTGCTGAATAATAACATACAGGGCCACGACATGAGTCCGAATTGACTTGGGAACAGCAGGCTCGATCCTGCTTAGGGTCAGAACTCATGCAGATGCATAACCAGTTGGTGTCAAGTGGACTTTCACTCATGGGCAGGTGTCAAGTGGACTTTCACTCATGTTGTCAGAGTAGAAATGTGCTTCCTATAGGTGTCCAATGGCTGAGTTTTCAGAAGTCTTTTGCCAGGTTTTCCAAGGCCTCCAGGGGTGGACCCAAACTTCCAGGAGCATGGTAACCATTTGGACCACCCAGGGGCTGCGTGAACACAAATCCCCATCAACAAATCAATGGAATTCCCTTAGCAGTTAATGGCTGGCATGTGGTGCATTTTGTGTTACTCCAAAATCATCATCCCTCATTGAGAGCCAAATACAACTCCATAAGATAGCAAGTAGCCTGAATTTGCTATCATCACTTCCTTACTTCTTGCTCACACCCCAACCTATTTTTACTTTCCTGGCAGAGATCACCAGTAGCTTCCTAATGACAGGATCCCAGGCTGCTGTTCGATCTTTATCTGACTTGACCTTTCTTTGCAATCTGACACTATTAGACAACCTTCCTTTCCTGAAACACTTGTACTTCACCTGCCTTCTGACACCATTTTTTCCCCCCTCCCACAATCGAATAAATCACACGTTTCCCAATTCCATCCTCTCTGCTTCATCCCCATGACCACTGTTATAACACACTGCTCCCAGGCAAGGGTCACAGGCTTACTGTTGGTGAATCTTTTCCACATTTTTTTTTTCCTTCTGGAGTTGCCTTTCTCAAAACACAGTGGTCTCTATTTCCGTTGCCTTTGAATTGATTCCAGCGAAAGGACAGAGAACTGCCTCATTGGGTTTCCAAGATGGTAGTCTTTACAGAAGCTGACTGCCCCATGGTTTCCCACCCCTTCCACCCCTTCAGAGTGGCTGATGGCTGCCAACCTCCAACCTGGCTGTTAGCCACAGAGCACTTAACCACTGGGCCGGCAGGGCTCCTTATGCAGCGCCAGGTTTGTGTGATTTATCATAAACCCTATGTATCCTCATCATCACAGGCCTGTGGGAAGTGCCAGCCATTTACTGTTAGCTGCTAACCAGCAGTTCAAATTCACTTGGTGGGGCTGTGGAAGAAAGGCTTGGCGACCCGCTGCTGTAAAGACTGTTGTTAGGTGCCCCGCTGAGTTGATTTACGCCCTCTAATGACCCTGTGGGACAGAGCAGACTGGCCCTGTCCTATGTGGTTTTCTAGGCTGTCATCTCTACAAATGACAAGTCTTTCTTCAGTGGAGCAGCTGGGTGAGTTTGAACCTCCAACCTGTCAGCCAAGTGCTTAATCTGTTGGTCCTCCAAACCCTGTGGAGCACAGTTCTACTTTGACATGCATGGGATCTCCATGAGTCAGACGTACTGGACACGAGTTTGGGTTTTGAACCTGAATCATTTGTTTATACAAGTCTGTACTTCCTCTGTCTCTGAACTCATTGAGGTGAGGCACGGAGGCTCATCTACTAGAACCTTGGCTTCTTGGGTGGAGTGGCAAGAAGGGAGGGTTTCCCTGAAGCACTGGATAATGAGGTTACTTACTTTCCCCTGCCTTCCCAGCTGCTCAGAGGAGCTCTGGTGACAAAGTGGGTTGGTTAAACCTTTGGCCTGCAAACTGCAAGGTCAGCCATTCCAAACCACCAGCTCTCCTGAAGGTGGATGAGGCTTTCTACTCTCTAATTGAAAACTCCCATGGGGCAGTTCTACCCTGTTCTATAGCGTCGAAATGAGTCCAAGGCGACCCAATGGTAGTTTGTTTTTTGTTTGTTTTCCCCAGCTGCTCAAAGTCTAGCCATTCCCTAATCCCAGCACACCTACAGTAGGAGTGGGGACCCTCTTTTCAAAGTCGCAGCAGAGCCTGGAGCCTCAGACATCAGAACCTGAGAAACTCTTTGCTCCTGTGTAAGCCTTTAGGGAAGCAAATGCTCTCGGGGCAGGGGGCCTGGTGGTGTAGGTGTCGTGGTTATACGCTGACTGCGGACCTCATGGTCGGTGGGTTCAGAAACCACCAGCAGCTCCACTGGAGAAAGACTGGGTTTTCTAGTTAACAGTTTCTTGGAAGCCCACAAGGGCTACCTGTTTAGCATGTGCCCTGGTGAAACTGCTCTGCTGCCAACCCAAAGCTGGGAGGTTCCGACCCACCATTCGCTGTCCCGGAGCACGATGTGCAGTCTTACAACCCCCCTATGGGCCCTTGCGGGGTAGTGGGTCTCGACTCTGGCTGCTAATCGTAAAGTCTGCAGTTTGAACCTGCCACCCACTCTGCGGGAGGACGATGAAGCTTTCCCTATCACGCCTCCGAATCGAAAAGGGGCGGTTCTACTGTGCCTTACAGGGCCACTACGAATAGGGGCCCACTCCAAGGTGGTGGATTCGGGTCTCCGGTTCTCCTTGGATCCGCACTGGGAAGGGTAGCACAGTGGGGAGGGAGAGCCACTTTCAAAGGAAGGAGCAGAACTGCAAAGAATGACCAAGGCCCGTGCGGGAGCGCAGCTCTCGGAGGCAAGCTTGGGTCGCCCCTCCCCCGCCTCCTCGCTCAGCTCGACCCACCTTAGGGCGGGACCTCCCGCTTCAGCCAATTCTGGGAGCTGAACCCTGGCGGTTTGTACTCTTTCTTTCCAATGAGAAAAAAAGGAAGCCGCTTGGCGCCGATGACCAATCCGAGGCGGCGGCGCCGGGTTGTCAGGCAGGTTATAAGCGTTCGGGCCAATTGGAGGCGCAGATACCGCTCGACCTGGGCGCAGCGCGCAGGCGGAGGCGAAGAGACGCCGGAGCGGGCCGAGTGCGGCCGAGCGGAGCCGGAGCCGGAGCGGGACCGCAGGAGCCGGGCCGGGTCCGGACGGGCCGAGATGCCCTATAAACTGAAGAAGGAGAAGGTGAGCGTGGCCCTTTCCCTCGCGCCTCCGCCCTGGGGCCTGCGCGGAGCTCTGGGAGGGGCCCGAGCCAGGCCCGGGACAGCCCCGGTCTGACCCTCCCGTGCGGCCCCCGCAGGACTCCAGGGGCCAGCTCGCCGGCCCCGCGGCGGGGAGCCCCTC